TGTGTACTGCAAAACTAATAGTCGTTATATTTGAAATTTTTTTTTAAAAAAATGAAAAATTTTGCCCCCAAACAATTCGTAACACAGAAAATTATTAGCGCTGAAATTTTTTTTTTTCGTTGCGGATGTTGTTTGGTTGCTATTGTGAAAAATATTAATTTTTTTTGTTTGTTTGTTTGCCAGACTCATATTTTTCTGTGTGATTATATTCAGATGTTCATTTGAATGGAAGGGAATTGAAGAGAAATTGGATATCTAACCACGATTCATATGTTTGTTTATAAATCTGTCCAGTTTTGTTTTCTTATGTGATGATACGAAGGCATTTGAATCAATTCGTTTACCATCTTACAAGAGAAAAATCTTTACACCATCTTTCTGGCAATTGACGTTTGACCTCAATCATCATCATCATCATTGGATTATAATAATATTGGATGATGAAAACATCGATTGTCACATGTCCAGAATCATCATTATGTTTGTTTATATTAGAATCTATGTATATGGCCTGTCGACAAATACACATTACTTGAAAATCGATTTACAAAATGTTTATGGATTTTTGAATTGAAATATAACATGAACAGGAAATGTGTTCTCTGCATGTTTATTGATGAAGCCCATGTATTTTTATGTGGATGCATGTAGTTTTTTTTTATTTGTTGAAAATAAACAAAAACAACAATTTCCAGGCAATTTTTTTTTTTTTTTCATTCAATCATTTTTTTTCTTTTTTTTTTTTTGTTTGTTTCATTTTGTTATATTGTTTGTTTGTCTATTTTCTCTTTTTCTTATTTCTTCACTTTTTGTTGCCTTATTATTTATTTGTTTCATCATCACTTTGTTGTATAATGTTTATACATTTTTTTTGTCGGCTTGTAAAGAATATTCTCTTTTGCAAAAAATGAGAGAATCCATTGTAAAAAAAATAAACCATGTATCGAAATGATAGAAAAAAAAACTAATATTAAGAACAAAAGATTGGATAGCCCAACCATCCATCCATCCATCTATCCATCTATCTTCTTTTTTTTAGACGAAATATTCTTCTCTCTGGATTCAATTACTCGGTCACTTGTTTCTTTGTGTGTTTGTGCGGGATATTGTAAAAATAAAAAGTTCATCCAAAAACCAAAAAAAAAGTGCCGAAATAAAAATCGATACAACATAAGGCAAATAAACTTGAAACAGTGATTTTCAAATTTATTGTTTCACGCTAGCGATTTGCAAAAAAAAATGATACATGATGGTATATTGTTTGTATTTGATTGAAAAAAACAAGTTGAATACCACTGTAATAATTGTAGTGTTTCAGGAACGAACCAAAATGATGAAGTGTATCACATGTGCATATCAACTATTTGCATTCTACTTATTCATATTTTTCATTTTTTTCCCTTTATCTATATGGCAAAATATGAATATTTATCACTTGGAAACTTTTTTTTTGTTCTATCTCTTGTTTCTGAAATCTGAGTTGACTTTCAACTGTCTGTTTGTCTCTCTTTATTTGACCATGTGTATGTTGGTGTCTGTAAATCTGGATTCTTCTATTTCGTGAATAATCTTACTTTGCATAAATCTTGTCGATATTTTTTTTTTGCTTCCTTTTTGTTCTCTTATGTAGACATCCTTTTAGATTTTTGATTTAACCAAAAATGATGATTATAAAATTGATAATACAATCTCGTAAAATGATTTGAATTGGCTTGGTTTTAAAATGAAACTAAATAACAAATTTTTTTTTTTTTTGGTGTTGGCAATAGGCTTTTTTCACAAACAATATTTCCAGGTTCATATTTTTTTTTTGTTTCAAAGTTTCGAAGTTTTAAATTGTTGTTTTTATGCCATCAAGCTGGTTTTTTTGGTTGAAAAAAATATGGAAGAGTGGGAAATTACCAGAACATAGAACCAGACAAAATAACAATAATAACGACAACAACAACACAACAACAACAAAATGAAGAGAATCATGGCGTGTTTTATATTTGTGGTGGTAGCAAAATTATCTTCTTTTATTGAATGGTTGTGATGTTTGTGTGTGTGTGTGTGTGTAACCAGATCCCAAAATCGATCTATACACCGATTTATATTGACATTACATACATACATTATACATAACACAAAAAAATTGATGTTATTTTATACTATATAAATTGGTTATGACGACAACAAACTGATCATCATCATCATCATCATCATTGATGATTATCGTTATATTTTTCTATGGTCGTTTTCATTTTGGTTTCGTTTGTGTGTTCATCAAGTCATGGATCATTGCCAATAAATGTTATTATATACATTATGATGATACACAGAACGACATTCACTCTCGTTTTCTCGTGTGTGTGGGTTAGTATGAATATTGAATTCATGTCTTTGATTCTTTGGAATCATATCAATATCGAATTCATCCATTCAATGTATGAAGCGCAAAGTTTGTTAACGACTTTTCATCTTTCATTTTTTTTTTTTTTTTGCTTTGCTGTTTCATATTTCTATAATGATTATGATGATGATGATATATTCATTCAATTCGAATACAATTCAATTGACCATTTTATAGTAATTGTGAATAAAAATTGCTTTCTATATCTCATCATGATGATGATGATGATGAACACATTGAACATTGTCCTAATTATTAATTGCTTTGAATGTCAAAATAAGGGTTCACCATAATAATAATGACTTGCCATGTTCGATCGAAGCTTTATTAGAATTGTCCATCATCATCATCATCATCAACAGCACAATCAACATCGGCATTGATTATTATTATTATAGTTCTTTTTTCTCTTTACAATCAAATTCCGTTTTTTTTTCATCCATTCATAAATCTTTGAGACCGTAACTCTAAATAATAATAATAATAATAATGAGGACCTTTTGAGAACCAGAATTTTTTTTTTCATCTTTTTTCAGATCTTTCTATCATCATGAGCTTTTAATGAGCTCTTGTCTATTATAAAAGACAACAACACAGCGACAACACAGTAATAATAACTATATATACATAAATTCTGTACGAATTGCCAAAAATTCTCTTTTTGGCCCTTTCATTTTGTTCATCATTAATTGCATATAGTGTTTAGTTGTCGAATAAATTTTCTGTAACGAACAGAGAAAAAAAAATGAAGAAGATACTAATTAACACATTGCTTGCTTGGAACAACTAATGAGTGAGAAAAAAGATTACATAGAACCTCAACTAATAGATGATCATCACTGACCGACCTACCCGAAACATCTTGTGAATCAATTAATTTTTTTTCAACCCCTTTTTTATGAACAATGTAAATGTCATGTATGATTTTTTCATTTTAAAATACTGTGTCATTTTGGTTACGATTTAAGCTTGCTGACTCATTATTGACAAAGATCACATGTTTCATTTATACGTTTATAGCTGATGTCATTCGCAAACCGAGTTACCACGATACTGACAATATGTTGGAATGTTTATACAATGTGTATACATCATTAACATGGTATTTTTTTCTTGATAAAAGCCACTAAAATAACTTCGATTAATTAATTGGAAAATATATCTTCAAATCTTTTAATCTTCCACTTGTCGGTAAGAATGTTCCAAGGAATTTGGTCTCTCTCTCTCTCGTTCATTCAATTTTTATATTATGGTAGCCGAAGGATGAAGAAAAAACGTTTTTTAAGGAAATTTTCAAATCTCATTTTCGATTAATTTGGTCAATCTTTAATGCTTTTCTTTTATTATATTTAAGATTTTGGTAATTTGTTTAATTTTTTTTATTCTATTATCATCTTTACTCTGTTTAATCTTTGTGTGTGAGATTGATGTATGAAAATTGCATATGATTTAAATGATGTTTATGTTTTGAAAGGAATCAGGGTTATCTTGTTGATTAGTTGCTTGATATCGGTAATCAATCAATTCAGAAGGGGTCTGTGTTTGTGCAAATTTGATTCTCATAGTTTCTCGCTGTTGGTTACTTTCCATGATTACGATATTGGCTAATATTGTAAATGAATGAAATTTTCAAAATGAAAAATCACATGGGCATTTGTCTATGTTATGTTTGACTTTAAATTTGGCTTAATTTAGCCAGTGATCAATAGCAGTAGTGTGATGTTGATAATGATGAGGACGTTGCACTTTTTGTGTGTGTGTGTGTGTGTTAATTCTTCGCTTTTGAAACATATATAAATCATAGCCATTCATCACCAATACATCAGGTATCAATAGTTTGCATCAGAGAATGTTTCGGCTTGAATTTTGACACATACGAGAAAATAAAGAATCAACTTTTGGCATCTTTTTTAAAAAAAAAGATTGAGATGTCAAGATCAGCGAGAAAAAGACATGGGTTTTTTTAAATAAATGTTTTTTTTGTTTGTTTGTTTGTTAATGATGATCATTACAGAATATGTTGAGACCTCAGTAACATGTGATGAGAATCTCTAAATTTACATTCACATCACTTGTTTATTCGTTTTGTAGATTTATACATGTAATTTAGCCAGTGATCAATAGCAGTAGTGTGATGTTGATAATGATGAGGACGTTGCACTTTTTGTGTGTGTGTGTTGAAAACCCAGTGTGTGTTAATTCTTCGCTTTTGAAACATATATAAATCATAGCCATTCATCACCAATACATCAGGTATCAATAGTTTGCATCAGAGAATGTTTCGGCTTGAATTTTGACACATACGAGAAAATAAAGAATCAACTTTTGGCATCTTTTTTAAAAAAAAAGATTGAGATGTCAAGATCAGCGAGAAAAAGACATGGGTTTTTTTAAATAAATGTTTTTTTTGTTTGTTTGTTTGTTAATGATGATCATTACAGAATATGTTGAGACCTCAGTAACATGTGATGAGAATCTCTAAATTTACATTCACATCACTTGTTTATTCGTTTTGTAGATTTATACATACTTACTATTATAAATTATTATTATTATTATTCAATAAATATTCATACTAATTATTGTTTTTTTTAATTTTTGTTCACAGGTGGTACATTAACAATAAATAGTCAACATGAAGATCAACGTGTTATGGTCAAAGGTATTGCCCAACAATCAGCCTCATTGCCTTGTTATATTGATGAAGAGAATTGTGGTGCCATCTATTTCCTTACATGGAGTCGGCTTGATTCACGTGAGGATCGTTGGTCACGAATATGGGTATATTCAGATGATAATGTTAATAAAGCGCTTAGTTCATTAACTGGTCGAGCCATTTTTACTAAACAAAAATCTGAAGCCCGTTTAGTTATTAATTCATTAAAACCGTCCGATGAAGCTTTTTACAAGGTAAGTTTAGAATTTTTTTTATATATATTCTTTAATCATATTACAAATTATCATTAAATGAATGAGAATGGATACTAATGATGTTGTTTGTTCTGGTAGAATGAATTTTTTTTTCATCTGTTTGATCAATCATTGAATGAATGAATGAAACAAACCAAATCAAACCAAACCAGAAACAGATTTGACGACAACGGCAAATGAACGAACTTAATTAGCTTTGATTATTGAAATGAAGAAAAAAAAACGCCAACGCGTGTGTGTGTGTGTGTTTATGTGCGAGAAAAAATCTAAATAATAAATTAGCCTTAAATTCTCTCATGGTATATCCATTCTTTTTGGATAAACAAATTTCTTGAAAATCAAATAACCGGATCGAGTGTGAGAATTATATATTTCATTTAACAAGGAAAAAAATTTGAAATTAGCTGACCTTTCTTAATATTTTCATCATCAGTCTTAAATTGTCATTGTAATGGTGATTAATACCAATGATGATGACTACTATTGAATCTTCTTTTTTTAAATAACAAAAAATTGTCTTCACCTGAATTAAATCAGTCGTATAACAACGGAACAACAACAACGACAACAACAATCCATTATGCTCTGTTTATTCATTAGGGTCCGTTTTTTTGTATTGTTCCTGTTTTTAGATTGGAAATAATTTTCTTCATACTTGAGGAAGTATATAAATCGTTGATACAAAAGTGGTGACCCTTTTTTCTATTTTACTTATTTGATTCGGATCTTTTATTTTTTTCGGATCTGAAATCTTTGAGTTGTTGTTTGTTTATAAGTGTGTATGTGTGTGTGTGTGTGTGTGGGAATCCAATTTGATTCTGATTACGATAAGCAAACAGTTTTTTTTCTTGTTTCAGATAAACGACAAAAACAAACAAACAAATTGCGTTGTTTATATGTGTGTTGTTGTATATTGTATGCATCCTATGGAATTGTAGGCATTAGATTCAATCGAAACAAATTGATTTAGTTAGTTTTTGTTTTTTTTTCTTTGATATGAAAGTCAAATTGTCATCATCATTTTCTTCAATTTAGTAATAGAATGCATTATTTTTCCACTTATACTCAAATATATACGAGATTGCCAATTTAGATTGAACATATGATTGGTCTTGATGGTGGTGGCGGTGGTGGTGTTGGTTGTAGAGGAGTTAGCAATTGACAATTCACCTTTTCTTTTTAAATATCGTTTGAAATCGAATTATCTATATATTTTACTTTTGAACAATCGTGTCGATTTTTTTTTGTTTTGTTTTGTTTGGTGGAACAATTCTCAAAGGACTCATCATCATTTTTGTCTATTTTATTTTTATTCATATTCTTGGATTTCAAGGATCTTTTTCTTGTGTGTGTGTGTCAAAAAATGCATAATTATTTCTTATGTGTATTGTTGTCCAGAATTGAAAATAACAGAATCATCATTTATTTTATGTTGTCTGTTTGCGTATTTCTATGAATGAAATGTAGAAATTATTTTAAACTCTGGTCTATCCCTAAAAATAGTGTGTGTGTGTGTGTGAGTGAGTGAGTGTGTGGGGTGAATACTGCAGAATGAATGAAGCCGACAAAACGGAAAATCACTGACAAACTTTCTAGACATTCCAATTCATTCAAATTATGAGAGAAAAAGAGAAAAAAAATGTTCCAAAGTTTTGCCGGAACGTAGACAGTGGAAGGACAATGAAGAGAAAAAAGAGAAAAAAGTTCAAATTTACATTTTGATTGTGATGATTGTTAAATTAGCTTTTTATATTTTTATTCCAAATCAAGAATAAATGGGAAAAGTGTAGAAAAGTAAAATGAATATATGAATGGAGTGAAAAAAATGTGTTTTTTTTCTTCTGATTCTTCATAATTTAAATTCCATATATTCCATTCATTTTACAAGTTTTTCATGATTCATTTTCTTACATTCACTCATTGTTAATTGAGAATTACATGCAAGATTCAAATTTTTTTCTCATCCATTTGTGATGAGAAATTATTATTTTTTTTTCATTTACATATAGAGAATTCTGATGTTTTTTTACTGATGAATATTCTAGCCTTTATTGAATTCATTTATTATTAGAAAAGTAATTTTTTTTCTAGCTTGTTGATTACTTCATAATGGTACAATGTAATATTCGGTTTTTCTTTGATTATTATTATTTGTCATATTCATCATGAAATTGTAAATTGGCTACACCTTAACGTTTGTTCTGTTTATGAACACAGACACACAGACACACACACACACACTATTCCATTCATAATCGTATTAACCGTTATGGATGGGAATGATTTGGAACACATTATATACATGTCACATCTGATGTGTTTTTTCATCATCATCATGAATGAATGAATGAAGAGAGAATTTCTTTTTATAAAGTAATAATAATAATGAATGAAAAAAAAACAGCAAAATTTAATCAAATTTTCATTCACTAGATGTTTATTTGAAGTTTGTAATTCATGTTTTTGTGTGTTAATGTCTATCATATATATATAGCCATATATCAAATGAAAAAAAAGAAAGAAAAAATTCTTCATATCTATGCTGACAGCTAATTTGCAGATTCAAACTTTGATACATATGAAACAGACTGTCTGTCGATGATTGTCACCATATCAATGATGATGATCACACACACATATATATATATCGATTCCACATTATAATTTTTTTTTCATTTCAGTCTTCATTTCTGGCTGACAGATACAGTTTTGTCAAATCGATAATTCATTTTTTTCCATTTCATTCATTCATTTGTTGAACAATAACCAACAAAAATGGCACATGTGTGACAAATCAAAATTTTTGGATAAAAAGAAAAAAAACAGGTTCTTGTTTATCGCGTAAATAGGAAAAGAAAAACAAAATATTTACCAGAAAAATATTTTTCATTTGATTTGAATTGATCACATGATTTGTTGTCATTCTCCGCCACCACCACCACCACCATCATCATCGTCATTTTCGATTTTTTTTTTTTGATTTTGATTTCAACAACAAAAAACTTAATAAGATAAAAGTTTTTTTTTTGCTTACTTATTTCCGCTTATATCATTCTTTTTTATATATGAAATTGTAACACACACACACACACATGCATATCATAGAAATTGTCATTGAATCATTATACCGTAATCTTTATGATTGTTTCAGGAGTTCAGTCAAGATTTTTTCTTATTCTATTCTTCTTTAACAGTCTCTCTGGTGATTTGAATCAAAATAAGGCAACCGAACAAACACAATTCACTATCCGTATTGTTTTTCGATCGAGTTTAGCTTTTTCTTTTTCAATCTTCTAAAATAGAATACTTGACATTTTTATAAATATCAAAAGGATAAGTTGCAAAGTTTTTGCAAATTTTTTTCCCTTTCTAGCGTTCCATCAATAAATTAACGGTTCATTTGATCGTACTTTTTTCTTTTTTGCTTCCTTTGATTTCATGTGTATCATGATCATCATCATCAACATTATTATTCTAGTATAAACAGTTATTAGTAATTAGTTTCCATGTTGAAAGAGTAAATTCTTTTACTTTAGACACACACACACACACACCTACCTATTTCACTGTCTGTATCGGAAAAAAGCCATTTTCTATTCACATTCCAACAGCATCAGCATCATGAGCCATAATTCCTAAACTCCAATGATGATAATGATGATGATTGGAAAAATTTTCCAAACTATTTACCATCAGCGTTGGCGTTTAAATATATTTTCATCCAATGTTTTGACTGTAGTCATTTTTTTCCAGACCATAGGGATTGATATTAGTAGATGATAGAAGAATTTAGAAAAAATCGATGATTAATGAATCGAAGAGTGAAGGAAAAAAATCGTTATGTGAAGTATGTAGTTGTGTGCTAGTGTAACTAGGTTCCATTTTTGAAAATGTAGAATCAATGTCTGGGCGCCCAAAACCGTATTGGGTGTGTATGGGTTTGTGTGTATTTTTGTTGTGAGGGTGTTGAATGTGTGGTCATACCGTTTTCTAATTAAGACAATCAAAACTAAACGGCAATGATCTCGAACAACTAAAAGCAATTTGGCACCCAATACAAATATACATAGAAGCATCCGCGTGTGGTAATATTTGGCCGGTCATTTTTAGACATTTGGTCTGTGTTTGTGTATTTCATTGTGATTGTCATTTGACAAATCTTTTTTTCTTCTCTTTTGCCAACAACACAATGTTTGACTTAATTATTCTACTGGCCAGTTCTCGTTGCTGTTGTTGTTGTTGTTGTTGTTGTTCGACAACATTTGAAGTTCTGAGAGTTGAAAAAAATATAGTGAATCGAGAAAAAACTAAATAAAATCACTAATCGAACAAAACATGTTAGAGATTCGTAGATTCACTCAACAATATGGCTATGGCTCATACAATGGTCTTGGTTAGTTAGCTATCTGTCTCTGGAGAAAACTATCTCTGAATAGTGGTTGTAGGCCAAAATTGCCCCAAATTTTTTTTTCTATTCTATACTTGCCCCAATAGTCGAAGGCTGATTCGATTTTTTCCGATTTTTTGTTAGTTTTTTTTTCTCAATACTTGTATATGATGATGCTTGTGTGAATAGTCCGGCAAATCCGGATGGATTCATTTTCATTCATACAAATTTCATGTGCATTCTTGAAGCTTAGTGTATATAAATATATTACCACCAGCCTGTATTACTATTAACATTGGCCAAGGCTCATCATTCATCAATTGATACATGAGTAAAAAAAAACCAAACGAAAACAAGAATCATAGAGGAAGCGAGAATAAATAAATGAAAAGTGACAGTCTTGATCTCTTTATCTATATATTTCCATCTATCTATTCAGTATTTTTTTTCTTGTGAAATCTTTTTTTTAACATTCATCTCTTTTGGACCGATATCGGTCTGGTTGCAAGTTAATTTTTATTTAATTTATTTTCATTATATGTTGTGATCATGATAATCATTTGTAATGGAGTAAAAATTCTTCATTTTCACCCGCAGCTAGAAACTAGAATTACAAATCTGATTTTATTCTTCAGGCTTAGACCAATATAGCGTACATATATAGTTGGCTGTTTGATTCATTCATTTCTTTCATACAATTGTTTTCTTTTTTGAAAGTAAAACAGTCCATACACCAGTTTTGAAGAAATGATGGATCATTATTGAGGCCATCCAGTAATGATGGCCAGTTCATATACATTCAATTTACATTAGGCCCGGTCCGGAATTGCTTCGAAATCCATTTAGAAGCCAGTCAGTCTATAGAACCAATAATCAAAAATGATAGCAAGAGAAACCATTATTTGATTTCTATCGCTCAGATTTGGTTTGTGATTTTTTTTTTTTTTAGGTTTGTTGGCCATATTTGTGTTCATGTGAACGACATTCATTAGTTTACTGGAGCAATTTGTTTATGTTATTAGAATTATCCATAAAGCACATGATTCCAATCAATATGCATACAATCGATATATGATAATAATGGTTTTTTTTTCTTTTTGTGAATCCAATTCCTTTCCACCCACTCAAATATCAAACTAGTGCGATGTCACCTATGTAGCCGGTAAATGTCCATCATTGACTTATGTGCAATTGAATATAATCGGTAAGTAAAGGAATAAGTTATACATTGTTTTACATTTATTCATGAATGTTTAATAATGGCCTCATTTTTTCGTTGCAATATATCCTGATTGATTATCTACTTTTTTTATTTCATTTTTTTTGTTATATTCAAAAGCCAAACCAAGCCGTTCATGGATAGAACATGAAGGCGATATCCTATCGAATGGTCATCATTTATCATTGACCGAAGGTGATTATCTTAAATTGGCATGCACTGTGATCGATGCACGACCAACACCGATTATTATATGGCGTTCGGTCGATTCACGTGGTCAAACAAATGAGCTTATTAGATCAACTACAAGTAGTGGCAGTGATTCATTCATTGTAACTACAGGTACATCCGGCGATGATATTAATTCTAATGCCAGAATGGATCGTGCTACATTAATATTAAATAAAAAACTTTCACGTGATGATCTTGGTTCGAAATATGAATGTCATATTGAACATGAAACAATTGGTAATGGTACAATGGATAAACATGTGGTTCTCGATGTCAGTGGTAAGTATATTTTATTTCAACTGGGAAAAAATCTTTATTGATTGATACGCCCAATTTATATCTTTTTTTTGTAAAACGATTAGTTGGTATCAAAACAATGGAAATAATCGGACCAAGTACATCGGTACGTGAAGGCGATATAGCTGTGATTGAATGTGTGGCTTATGGAAGTAAACCGGCTGCCGAAATTGTTTGGCGCAATGGGTAAGTGATGTTTTGACCGATCTTTGTTGTTTTGTTACTTTTGATCATTAACCATTCCAATCGTTTTTCATTTCTCAATCTTTTTCTCTCTAGTTCTAGGATAATTGATGGACATTCAATACAGAATACGATCGAAACAAACATTGATCGAATCACTGTCAATAGTCGATCAAAACTAGAGATTATTGTTGGTCATCAGGATCATCTGAATCCTATCACTTGTGAAGCAGCCAATGTAGCAATGCGTACGCCCATTAATAAATCAACCGAGATATCTGTACTTTGTAAGTTGTGTAATCATAGCTTTTTTATTCGATTTGTCTTACTCATATGTTGATGATGGTGGAAAAACGATTTATTCTTAATTTTTCTTTTTGACAGTTGCACCAATCGTTGTGATGGAGCCTCAAAACGGTGTAACCGTAAATGAATCAACACCAATGGTGAAGATTTATTGTACTTATTTGGCTAATCCTAGCCAATTGTTAGAGAATGAAACCATATGGTTTAAAGATGGTCGTCGTTTAGATATAAGTGATCGTAGCAGATATATCATTGAATCAGTAACGAATTCTCCTACGTTAGTTATAATGGATGTAACTCGAAATGATACTGGCCATTATCATTGTACATTGGCCAATACATTTGGTTCTGGTGTGCCTAATAGTTCCATCTACCTGAATGTGCTTTATCCACCTATTGTTTCATTGTTTGTCTATCCAAATCCTTCATCCTCCGATTATTTGCTCAAAGAAGGTGATGATTTACGAATGGTATGCGATATTCATGATGGTAATCCCCGTTCAGCATCACGAATGCGATGGCTCAAAAACAATGGCGAAACTTTTAGTGAATTGGATGGTGATACTAGTACACAAAAAGAATTGTCATGGCTTAGCATACCTCGAAGTTTGACAGGGAATTATACTTGTCAAGCTATAAGTGAAGCAGGAGCTAGTGAACTCAGTAATGAAATCGAAATCATTGTACATTATCCACCTGGTAAATCGATTATACGTCTATTGGATGAACCACATCCAATAAAAGGAAGAAATCTTACTTTAGAATGCATTGTCAATGATTATGGTAGTCCTTCGGATCATACGGAATACCATTGGGAGAATAGTGATGGTATGGTTTTTGAATCTCGGCAACCGATATTGACAATACAGAATGTGCGTATCGTGAATCGTGGTAATATTTCATGTTCGGCTGTCAATGAAGTTGGATTCGGTGCTCGAGGCCAATTTGAATTGATTCCGTATGCACCACCTCGTTTCATCAATCCTTTACCAGCTACAATCGGTGTCAATGAAGATTTTCGTAGTTCTTCATCATTAGAATCATCATATATGAATTATAATCAAAATGAAATGAACACTGCCACATGGAACACACACGCAGGTAATGGCCAAACATATGGTTACGTGACTGGAAATGAATTGAATGGCTTGAGGCCGTCATCTTCTGATAGTTCCGATCTGATCACCTTATATTGTCGTGTAGAATGTTTTCCATTATGTTCACTACATTGGTATCGTAATGATCAACCAATCGATAATGGTACAAAAAGCGAATATCGTATTATCGAAGAACAGCTACCGGAAGAATTTTTACTCAACCGTTTTCCTGGTATTGAATCTACGCTCACATGGAATATATCGAAATCTGGCCGCAGTAAATTAGATCGTGTTCGTGATTCGGGCACAACATTTTCCTGTGTTTCCAGTGGTAATCTGGTAGGACCATCCATTCGTTCGGATTCTAGATTTCAAGTTGAATGTAAGTGGGACTATTTTTTTTTCATTCTATTTTTTATACAGTGGTATAGGGAATTTAATCCAGTTTGAATCTCGAAATAGAGCAGATTAATTAGCTTTGAGAGAATTGCTTTGAAACGAGAAAAACAAAACGACACAAAAGAGATTTGGTAATTTTGGGTGAAAAAAAACGTATGCTTGAAGAAACTTAATGTTGGAATTCATTATGGCAATGTCATTCCCACTATTCTCGATTCGATTCCATTTCCTCTGCTTAATTATAGGCTAGCCATATTAGTATTTCAATTCTATTACTATACAAAACCATAGTTTCTTCTCTGAGGACTAAATTAATTTGCCAAATTGTCCAACTCAACAACAAACACCATGTTCAATGTTTCGATACAGTGATGCTGACTGGTCTATAGCCAGTAATTGGTAGTAATAAGACGTCCCTAGCTATATCGATGACATTTTTTTAATTTGAAATTTTATCACCATGTTAAAGCCTAGCTGTTTTGTTGTTTTAGTGACCGAGGGCTTGTATGTGTCTACAATTCTCAACGGGAACCACTGGATTTACCAATGTACTCTACATCCACTAGTTATTTCACTGAGTTCCGGTTATTTCACTATTTTTCTTTTTTCCAACTTTCAACTCCCATTCCCAATTGGAGTGTCGGCAAAATTTTTTCCTTTTTCTTCTATTTTTTTTTTGGCTTGATAATATCCGTTTTTTCTCTCTAGATTCTTGTTGTTCACACAGTTGATCATTGTGATGATGATGATGATGATGGTAGTGGCGACCATCATAATGATGATCGTCATCATAATCATTGCATTAGTTTGATAGCCATAGCTACCCATAGTCATCGTTTATTCGCTTCATTGTGTTCATTTATTTAGGATCTATGTATGTCTTTATATATATGTTTTGCGTTTATGAGGAAACCTATTAGTTTATGTGTGTGTGTGTGTGTGTATGTTACTTGTTCCTTTTTTCCCCTATCTATATATCTACTTATTGGAATCCATGATCTGATGATGATGGACAAAATAACACGATGAATTGAATAAAAGAATCGTGTTATATATAACTGATTCTATGATGATGATGAGTGAGTGAATGAATGATGAACAAAAGGAAGTGAAATGCGAATAGCTGCCAATAATGGTGATGATGATCACATTGTCTCTGTAATTGTATGTGGATCCATTATACTTATTTTGGCTTGAGTTGGCTTTTTTTTCTTGTTCATTTCATTTAGCATCATCATTGGATTGAATCAAAAGCTTTCCAACGCATTGAATTCATAAAAGAAAATGTTTTTGTCGGTATATTGGTAATGAAAATCTGTTTTTTTCTCTTTTTCAATTCTTGTTGGAAAAAAATCTCATCGACTAATTGTGCCATATGTACTCTTTAATGAGGTTCTAGTCATTGGTTTCGGTGTTTGGTTTTGAGCTTTACCATCATCATCATCATCATCATTGACTTGATGGCTAAAAGTGAAAAATATTTTTTAGCTTCACAATTCACAATAATTTTTTTGTTCGACCATCAACACAAGAACAATTTCCCGTTTTCCACAGAACTATTTCTCTCTATTCAATTTTCATGTTTCATTTGGATGTATTTTTTTTTTTTTTTAGCTATGGCCGCATCATTTCATTTCTTGTGTGTGTATGTGTGGATGCCGATTTAATTTTTTTTTCTTTCTTTTATTTTCATTCTTGCTCGATTCTTTAGTAGTTTTATTTTATGGCTTTATTTCTAGACTCATCACATACGCCATTCAATGTTTTTCTTTAATTTCTTTTTTTTTTTTTTTTTTTTTCCAAAATTGTTGTTAGTTGATGGCAATGTTTCAATTAGAAGCAAAGAAACTAATCTCTGGAATAGACTCGTTGGCCTTTTTTTTCGTACAGAATATACTTCATCTATCATTTATAGCATTACATTTTTGTTGGTTCAAACATTGAGAATTCCATTCCAAAGAATCCTAAAGTCAAGGATCAAATATGACGATGATATTTTATTTCTGAATCCATTTTTTTTTTGATCAGTTGTTAATATTTTTATTGATATTTTTAAAAAAAAAAACTGTTCACATATGGTGATATTTTTTATTCATAGTTCAAATTTCCAGTTTTCAAAAAAAAAATTTCACTGTACAATTCATTCTAAATGTATGTCTTTATGGCTATGAACTATGAGCTAAATTGTTATTGAACCAATCGATATATCAATATTCTTTAGTAGTTTCTTTATTTGTTATGAATTCTTATAAATCATTATCTTTAGAACTTCCAAACACATTTTTATAAGTGAAAACAATTCTTACTTGTCATCATTATCATGATTATAGCTGTGAATTAGTTAATCTTGGCCAATTTTCGATTATTTTTAATTTCACACACACACACGCATTATCTCAGATCTAATCAATTTGAGTGCTACTTGCTTTGAGAGTACATCTTTGTTCATTTTTCTTTTTAATCATCTTTCTTAAGATGATGTTATCATGTGCGATCGAATTTTTTTTTTTTTTTTTTTTGGTTGCCTTGAAAAAACAATGATTTCTTTCAAATGATTGAAAAATATAAATTAATACAATTTCCAATTTCACAACAACTGTATAGAAGAATGTTCTAGAAATTTGTCTTGTCAAAATCATTAGGCTAAATGTCATTATTCCAATCACTACAAACACACACACACACGCACGCACATAAAATGCAGTGTTAATATGCAAATTAGCTCCTATTGAATTTGAACAATATTTTATTTTTGGAATTCAATTTTTGTTTTCACCATACTCACAAATCATTTCATCAGTAATCTCCCTAGTTATGCCTATGCATAATTACCAAAAAAAAAACCGACAAGTTTGGATGACACAATGAATCCTTTGCCTTTCTGCATATTATTGCTTCTTTTGGCTTTTTTGTTATCCTTGATTTATGGCATCTCCGACCTCTTGCTGTGTCTCAGTGTGTGTGTGTGTGTGTGATTTTTTTTATATTTTGCATCATAAAATGCCAAACCATTGATGACTGAATGATTGCAGAATTGTTGCAAACAAACAAACAAACAAACAAAGAAAATATGGCTAACAGATTTGATCAAAAGTTATAACCATTATATTCGCTATATTTGTTATTGTTGTTCACATTTGAATCATTCACTAGGATTTTTATTATTATTATTATTATTTTTATCCATTGAACAAACATCAACCTACTGTATGGAATAAATGGTCTCTACGATAATTGATGTTCTCGACATTTTGATAAATTCAAGTGAGCAATATATACATGGCGCTATTCAATCATTTCCGATTTGATTTAGTTGATTTTCTATCCATATATGTCCAAAATGATCTAAATGACTTTTTGATTATCCTCGACTAATCTTTGATGATGAGTTTTTATATTTACAAAATGGACAAAAAAGTGATCGAGAAATGACAACCAATTTGTTTTCATTGGATCATCCCATCATCATCATTTAATTGACAAAAAAAAACTGAAGGAGTGTCATTTAATACTTAAAGAGAATAATATTAGCACGTAATTGTCGTTTTGTGAATGATTTCAATCATATAATCTAGCCAAATCAAATCAGTCATCTCGTACTATTTCATATATGGTCGGTTGTAAATCTTGTGATACACACTTCACATCATAATCGCATTTAATTTCAAGATCTGATTGTTTTGTTTTTTTTATATATAGCATGTTTGCCATATAAACTGAATTGACTACCTTTTTTTCATTTTCTTTACTTTTTTCATTCATACATCGATCGATCGATCGAATGAATGATGCTGATGTTAGCAAGAATATCAATTTGTAGCCAATTTATTCATTTCATTTGGCCATCGATTTGTGATTCGTTTTGTGTAATATTTACTTGCTACGAATAGAAAAAAAATGGATCCAAAACATAGAAGCCGAATCAGCAATCATCAGTTTTCTTTTTTCAGTAGTAGATCCATTATGTATAACTAGAGCTTAGTCAACGGTAGACAAAATGATGATGAGGTAATGTGTGTGTGTGTGTGTGTATTGGAATTCATCGAAATGCGATATATTGATTCAAATTTGTTGAATTAGAAGTAAATTTATATAAATATAAATGATATCAGCGAACCACACTACTTGAAGGAATGTGTGAAAGAACGAGAGAAAAACAGAAGAATCTCACCACTTTTTCAGACCCCAAACCTTATTGGGTGCTTATTGATTTTCGTTTAGTAATCAATTTATTCTGTTCGTTTACAATTCGGGTAGTATATTCTAGTTATTTTTTTTTGCTCTATTGCCACACGTTTGTTGAATAATTCTATGGACATCGATGTTCATCGATGGTGATTCAGTGTGTATGTATGCTACATTCCGTTGTTGTTGTTGTTGTTTGTCTTGGCAACTTTTCACTTGATTTAGTTTTTTTTTCATATATTCAGTTTTCTCAATTTTCTCAATTCAAATACATTCCCCATCTGAATTGGATTCGATTTCGATACTCGATTTTTATAAGATTCCAGTAGCTTGTTTTTGTTTTTCAGAGACCCATTTTATGTAGAACAAACCAGACGATTCAAGCGATGATTTTGCTTTGTTCATTTTCCGCTTTAACAGCAAAGATTCTGGATAACAAGAGATACGGCGAACAAATCGTCCATGCCACTTGGAATTTTTCCAGGCTAGCTTCGTAGTGATTCAACGACATGTTATTAATAATGGATTGACACAACTTTACGTCAAAATGGCTGGCGCACTAATACCAAATGACTAATACAATCATTTTGCATGTATATTCGACCGTTGATGGCTTTCGATTCCATCATAAAATCCGTAAATATTGGCGTCTCAGGGTTCATGAATAACGCGATTGTAAGCAACGCCTTTAACTAAATCACCAATGCCGAAGAAACGGAGCCATTACTAATTCCTCCGAAGATGAGGCAATGTATTTATAGATTTCGATGATTCGCCTTTTTCCAACAAATCGTTCAA